CGAAGGACTGACCAAACTTATACTTTTTTACAGCAGAACACCTTGTAGGTAGTTACATATATTTAATTGTTTTCACATCGTCAAATAATTTTAATGGACCTCATTCATTTGCTATATTGTATACAGAGTGTGTCAAAACTCAAAGTTAAGTTTTTATAATTTTTAAATGTTATATCATCAGTTAGTTAACACGTTAGTGGACAGAGCGGCATATGACGCGACATGTGCCATGTGCGTTTGGCGACAGCGTATGATTTGTTTGCAACGGACGTTTACTGCCCCAGGAGAAAACATAAAATTGCATGAATTGTCCATGCATGAGTTCTGGTGTACCTATCCTAAAAGTACTGTTCAACAGGTAATTTACTGTTTATCTGTAATTGTGTGGACATCTGTAGAGTGTTATATGTGTTTTAAATAGTACGAAAAGTAGTTGATAAGCAAAAGTAAGTACCTGACAGTCGTAATATTGTTTTTTTATACACGCCTTAAGCAATTTTATTTGTTTATACCAAAGTTTTGATGACTCAGCGCAGCGTATGCCGACAACGTTAAATTTTTTTTATACGTATTGTCCTAGCAAAACACATATTATAAGCGTTCTATTTGATTTTGATAATTTTCCAGATAAAATCCCCAGAAAAATTTCTTAGTAAGAGCCACCACAGGAGGTGCAGACGAGGCACAGAAAAAAAATTGGCACAGGAACGAAATAATTATGTAAAACTTGCCCAAAAAATAACTAGCCCTGTGTGTTCAGCTTTGCCTCGAAGAATTTCACAAAAAGTTAAATTCTAACATGTTTTGTTTCAAACTTTGTTTTGTACTTCAGTTCAATAAAGTATTTTTTCTACACCCACATGGATATTAGCTTATCTACGCACAGATTACAAAACGAAAAAGTATGCTATTGTCTTCAACTGAAGGAATATATTTTATATCCATTCTAGGTAGTAAGAACACTGCAAAAAAATTAAATCCACCAATCACCCTTCATATTTTGATCAACAGACTGCTATTATTTTTAAAATGTTAAATAAGTGACAATTCTTTTAAACTAATTGTCAGTATAATTTTTAGTTATTGAGATTAAACATACATTTAAATGGGTTATTCTTGTATAGAGTCAAAAAATAAAAGCATTTCGTTTTTATTTCGTCTATAATTATAAATCATTTGTTAATTTAAATAAAACTATATGAAGTCAATTTAATTACGAGTATTAAAGCAACAAAAATAAAAGAATAGGTGGTCCTGTGGTTGGCGTTTTTGCCCTCCAAACGGAAGATTGGAGTTCGATTCCCGGATGGGGAAAAATGAATTGAACATTTTTTCTTTATTTTTTTGGTTATTTTATTTTAAAAATTATTAAAAGTCATAAATTATTTCTTAATAACCTAAAATATATATTTTTTTTAATTTAATAAATTTTCGTTAGTGGGTCTTACAAAAAATATACTGTTCGTACAACTCGAGTGGATTGTCCACATCGCACTCGCCTACGGCGTTGTGCTCAAGTATCGTCTTCGTGCGATATGTCCATCATATCCACTCTTGTTGCACAAATTACTATTTTTAAATTTAATTATTTTCATTGTCCAGTTGATTGAATGTTAATTTTATGGCTTTTTATGTTATGCAACATTATGATTTAAAATATAAAATGTATGCACAATGTTTATCCTTTTAGACATTGAAAACAGTAAAATTAAAAAATATATATATTTTTAAATAACTGTAATTTTTACACTATGTGCACTTTATATTCCAAATACCTATACCATATTTAAGATATTAATTTGTCTAGAAATATTGTGTCTAAAATTATTTAAGCAATGTGGGGGTTTGATTTCAATTGTAAAATGTAACTATTGTTCTAGAACACATCTAAAAAATGTATACTCATTGAAGATTTATTTCTAACTCACAAATTGACGAATCTAAAAACCTTTACTAATGGGTGAAGGGTTTAAGAGAAATGAGATGCGTCATATTGTAAACCCATAATTAAAAGCTAAGAGATGCGAACATTTTTAAATACACTCTGTTAATCAAGCGGACAGAGAGATCTCAATTCGAAAGTGTTGAAATCACGTTGAAGGCACTGAGAGCAAGAGTCTCTAGATGTAAAGTCAAAATATAATCAACATCAAATATATTGTGTATACTTGGTCCTCACAACCAATGCAATCTTTAAAACATACACACGAAGTGTATAGATGTAGGCGCCCCCTTCCGGTGTGTTATAAGAACTTCATCCACCTGGCACATTAGTTATGGGGACCAAAAATTTTAATAATGATGTAGGTACCATTTGACTCCAAAAATGACGTAGATTATCCAAATCAGGTTATTTTCTTATAGGTACCGGTTTGATGTCCCAACAAGAAAAACGGTCCCGGCAACCATAAGCGTTTTTCGGAAAATGTCCCCGTAAGCCCTCAAAAGTCCACACACACACACAGACACACACACACACACACACACACACACACACACACACACACACACACACACACACACACACACACACACACACACACACACAGACATCATCGCGAAAATAGTCAAAACTGATTCAGGGGACCTCAAAACGTAAAAATCCGTCGAAAACTCGAGGTCGAAAAAAATCATGATTCCTATACTTTCCTTATATCTGTATACAGATAGGAAAGTAAAAAGGACTAAAATTTGTTTATGTTTCATTTGCGAAGGAGCTTTTTCAAATACCTAAAAAAAGTTATGAAATATACGGTATACCTTAAAGCTTGATTTTTTTTGAGTAATTCCTGCCTATTACTGACCAATAGACCCTGATTGCTTTTTTTGTGTATTATCAACTACTGAATGCGATCCCTTTTAAGTAAAGCTACAATTATTTTTACCTAGGTTTATAAATAATTTTTTTTTAAAAATAGCAGTTTCGTAGGTATTTTATAAAATTTAAATATTGAGCACTCTGGAATGAATCTATGCATGATCTGAAGAAAAATTGCCCTATTTTATACCATTTTAGATTTTGGAGCAAAATTGTGTAAAATGCAAGTGCTTATACATTTTCAAATTTGAAAGGTATCAGGTATGGTAGGTTTGTTACTATTTTACCACTATTACATTATAATTTATAAATATAAAAAACATATGAAACTGCTTAATCGTTTACATAGATCTTAAATTAGCATAAAAAGTGCATTACTTGTCTAATTTAACTAAGTCTATTGTAAGACAATTTCCTTATAATTTGCTTTGTTTTATTTCAGATATTTTGCGTATCTTTCAAAATGTCCGAGGGACGCAAAAAACTGGTTGCAAATATAAAAAACGAAGGGTGGAAAAGAAAATGCAAAGGCATAGACAAGCTGGCACTTTACTAAATTATTTACATAGTACGTCGGGCAGTACCAAAACAAATCAAATACATCATTGAAAGACACTGATAACACAGAATCGTCTGAGAATAATTACACAAGTATTAGAAATTAAAAATTTAAAAAAACCAACTTCAAAAACGTGCAGATGCCATCACATCTTAACCAAATTTATATGGGATCACCCTTAAAGTATCCCCTTTCTAATAAAAAAAGAATCATTAAAATCGGACACCGTGTTAAAGAATTATCGCTGAACATACATAAAAAAAATATTTCGACGAAATGAGAACCTACTCCTTTTTTGAAGTCGGTTAAAAATAAGGATCACTAAATAAACGATATACCTGAACTGATACTTGCAACTGACAGTGGCAGCCCCCCGTCGTCAAATGAGAACACTATTGATACCAACGTGGCACCTACAGAAAGCGTTCAACAACCTTTAAGTATAGATCCAGCACTCTGGTCAATGATACTACCAGACGCCGAAAGAATCTTTCTGGTAAGGCAAGGTCCACCTAAACCATTGTACAATTATAGATTTCCATACGATGAGACTGGTAGAAACTTTAGCCCTAATTATTATAAAAGAATTTTAAGTAATGGAGAGCAAATTTTAAGAGACTGGCTAGTATACTCTGTCTCAAAAAATTGTGTATATTGCTTTTGCTGCAACATTTTTGGCTGTGTACTTAGTTTCCTTTAAAAAGAGTGGTTTAAAAGTTAGAAGCATCTGAATCAAATTTTAGTCCCAAAAATCGTAAGAAAAAAGTGTTGTAAAACTATAGATACGAATTCCCAAAGACTTATTAACGCTGAAATATACCATTGGCAATAAGTGCTTTAAAGGATTGTAGCAATCACTTAAATGCTTGGCAAAAATTTTCTGGCTTGTCAAGGTACAAACGACAAGCCGTTTGAATTTGTCCCCATACTTTTTTTATAAATTGACTGCACCAGAAGATGGAAAAAATTGTATTTTCCGAAACATGTGGTGCTTAAATTATAAAAACTAACACTATTTGACCGAAAAAAACAACGAACCTTTTATTTATATAAAAAACAATGATAATGGTTTCTGAGTAATACTTTTATGCCTTACTTTTTAAATGAAATTTGCCTAAAACACTTTCAAATTTCTTATTTTACCATATCCCATGGGATATGGGTATTGTTGAAAGCTCATCTGAAAATGAAGAAGATGAACTACCGAAAGTGTGATGCATGTTATTGCATGCCAAAAACGTTGAAATGACCTATAATAAATTTTGCTCAAGTAGGTTCACCTGTCAATTTATACCTATTTAGGCCCCTATATAGGCAAACATATGTTTTATTTTAGCGATGTCCTAAAACACAGTTTCTGACTATGTTCACATAACATTTTATTTATTTAAGGCATTCAAATTCTTTTCTATTAACAAAATTCTAAATAATTTAAAATAATATGTTTAGAAATCGATACAAATGCTACGTATTTATACGTATTTTTATTGCAATCACAATTCTAGATAAAATGGAGCTACATCCTGTTCATTCATTAATGCATTACCTTTTAACTTCCAAAAAATATATTATAATGAATAACAAATTGTGCCAATCAATAAATATAGCCTTAAAACTACTTACATTTTATCTTCCTCCAAAAAATAATCATATTCCAGGTCCAACATTCTAATTAGCTTCTATCACAACTTTACCTAAATGAAAATTTGCATTAAGCGACAACAAAAGTTGGTACAAAAATAAACAAACAAACCAAGAAATTTGAATTGATAAGACTTTTATCAATTCCGGTTGATTGTCAGGAATGACATGCGTCGGGACGCGTCATTATCGATTGCGTGCTGAAAGCTTACTGGTGCTTCCATCTGTTACTGAACTAATAAACTTGTAATGGTGAGTAGAACGAAAACTGTAAGTTAATATAAAGTGAGCCAGCCATAGATTAGGAGAGTGTGAATCACTGATCTGTATTATTTTACTGGATAGGATATAGCCCTCTAAAAAACGTTCCGAAAAATTGGCCGATTTGGGCAAATATTATGGCGGACCGGATCTCCGAGCAATTACTACTAGAGGGAGTCTTCCCCCCTTCCCCGCGCTAAATTTTGTTAGCAACATCTACTCCCCCCGAGGGGGAAAATACCTCTTCTGTAATTGGCTTATTTAATCAGCGTTGCCAAGTTTGACAGCGCCAGAAGTTTTCTGTGAGCGCCAGTTCTGACACTTTCTGACACATGTCAATTTCTTATTTGTATTTTACGGAAAATATTATTATTTATAACGTTGTAAAGGTTGTAAATGTATATTTAAGATTTATTATCTCTAATAATATGGTGAAAACATGCTTTATGTGTAAAAGGCCTGTTGAAAATGCTTCTTCAAGATAATATCATAAGTAAGTACAGACACAACCTAATTATCAGAGGCGGTGCATTAGACAATCACCTTTAATTTGCAATTAAACTTTTTTATTTTCTTATCGAAAAATTAAAATTAACTTTGTAAAGTTTATTGTTATTTTTTTTAGGTTTCCTTTTCTTGATATGAGAAAGAAATACATGGTTCCAAAATATAGGAATTCAACAAGTGACCACCTGAATAACTTTTTATGCTAGTGCATTTTTATTACAGATCTCAGGGAAGGAAAATATTAAAGAAAAATGCAATTTCGACAAAAGAAGTATAATAATCAATCCTGTCACTACTTCTACACTATATTCATCTGCTACTAAAATACTAAAACAGCAAGTAAATAGAGAAACTTAAGTTTCTTTCAAAAAGAATGTTTAAGGAAAAAGGCATAGCTATTTTTTGTTGACACTTTTTTTTAACTAATCTAAAAGACTAATTTTGTGTATTGCTTAAATGTTAATTTTTTGTACTTAATTTGTTTTGGGTTTAAACAAAATGAACTTCTAAGAGATGCATGGAATATCCCAAAAGAGCTAAGGAAGGTTTTAAAATTCTTAAGAAAAGTATTCAGAGCCAAAAACATAAAATAGTCTTCCTGTCCAAAATATAAATAGGTATAAATATTTAGATATTATGAGTGATTTTTTATTCTATAAATAGAACATAATTTGCTTCTAAATCACTACCTAATGAACTATATTATATAGTACAAAACTAAACAAGACTATCACATTATTCATGTTTTTTTTTTTAATTTCCTTAAAAAACGTCCCAAAAAAATGTGAATATTTATTATTGGAGTTAACATCGTTATGCTAAAACAATACTAGAACAACTTAAATAATGTGGATTTTGACTATTTTGAGTTATGCAGATCATTATGATCTAAAATAATGTTTGTCTGGTGCTATAGTCAGGTATAAAAATATTCATTTATTTAAACACAGTTGCAATATACATTTTATTTAGTTTTAAGTTAAAACCTATTAGGACATCCTAAAATTACTTTTTTCGTTTGATGTGAGATTAATTATTCTACATTTTTGTTGGTGAAATAGGATATATTAAGATGTCTTACTGTTTTCTCTGATTATCTAAAAAGTTAGAACAATATACAAAGACTGTTATAACAAAAAAGAGATATACCTTTACTTAAACACACAATTATTAGTCAGTTCAATTGTACGATAATTTAAAGCAGAAATCCAGAAAACTTTAAAAATGTGTTTTTACTATAACAAGGACATAATTATTAAAAAAACTTGGCACATTAACATTGACGATGGGTTTTAATAATATATATTATACAAATCACAACGAACTACACAAAATGACATTATTAATAATTTAGTAATAAAAAAGTTAAGTACAATGATGACATTAAAACTTGAGTTTCTCGAAATACTTTTTTTAAATTGTCTCAGTAACTACCTAGTATTTTTCTAGCACAATGATATTATATGAATGTGCATTGTGTGATATCTTATATTATAGGAATAAAATTATATATTTTTTTGCAGGTTTCTGTTAACAACGATTCCAAGAACTTTTGAAAATATTATTAAAACGGCATTTGCAAATATAATTCTCAATTAAGAGCTTTTGACCTAACATTAAATTTTTATTCTCCATAAGGTTATAGCTTCCTAAGAAGAAAGTTTATCAAGACTTACCAGACTCAAAATTTTACCAACCAATTGATGGTTCTACTGGTTTCCATAGGAAAATTTTCTTCGAAACTACTAAAAGAAAAGTGGCAGAGGCAACCGAAGAAGGCAAAAAAGTCTTTTGCAAAACAAAAACTAGAAATTTGTTTAAGAATCTATTGTTTGAAGTTTTACCATTAATAATTTTTGATAACGATTTAAGATTATAAAGTTCTATTATGAATATTACTCTTTGATAACCTATGTTTAAATTTTTATTAGGACCAAAATAAATTATAATTTTCAATTCAACTACAAAAACCCTCATAATATTAAAAAGTGGAAAAACGTTAGATTAGTTATGTTCAGGAATAAACTCTTTAAACATTTATCAACTTAAAATGTGTTACTTTTAGAAGGTATGTTATTAACTTTCTATTTGTACTTGTATTAATTTATTTCATTTTATTATCTGTTGTATTTTCAAATTGATTTTGATATTAATCTTATCTATTTATATATTTTTTATACTCACATATATGTTTTTTTCATTAAAACAAACGTTTATTAGCTTATTAAATATAATAAATTCATGTTGTTTTATTATATGCTTGTATGAATGATTACTTTTATTTCCTTTTAAAAATGAATTTCGAAGATAAAGCCGAAACGGTGAGTGAGAATAAAAATTAGACGAAAGTGACGATATTTACTGAAGCTTTCATCTACACGCTCCTTTTTCTAGCCATCTACACCTAAGCCAGCAAGATTCGTCTTCCCTCCATCCTTAAATTCTCCAGATTTACAGAGAAAACGCCGTCCTCTTTAACATATCCAGACCTTCTTTGATGGGGACTATACCACTACATTATCAGCTTTATTTGTTATCCCGAGCAATTTAAATGCATTCGTAATTGCTCATTCTCACCTCTTCTCTTGTAGATTCCGTACTCAGTTTTCTTATTTTTAGTTACGTTTGCACTGCTCTTTTATTTTCACAGCTTTAATTCTATAATGCTGTAACGCTACAATATGGATCCATTTATATGGTTTATACTATTTAATGTTATTCGTAAGTGACCAACCTATTATAATAATTAAAGATTATTGTATTACAGGCCTGAAGATGTTCCTGCAAGGCCGAAACTAGTCGCTCCTGTATTTATAATAAAATTTATTTTAAGGTTTTATTCTTCAATTGAAAAAATTAGACCTTTACAGTGATTTTGTTTCTTTTTCTGCATTAGACATATATATGACGGTATTCATTTTAAAAATAGTAAAATTAGCAATTTTTTTAGTTTTTTTTTTACAATTAAAACGTTTGGACTATGTGTGTTTTTATAGATAAATGATACGCCACTGAACAAGAAGGATGTTTACCTTCCCCCTTGTGCCCGCTTCCTCACTTCCTCTACAGATGTTGCTAACACAACAATCGCCTACAAACTCGTTTTCACGCTCCCTCTATTAGTAATTGCTCGGAGGACCGGATGTTATTTAACATAACCTCTATTTCCATTCGTCATCACATTTGTCATTTAATTGTGTCATCAAGTTACGATGAGATGTTTTTTTTTTTATTTATTTATTTATTTAGGTAGTATCGAATAGCATTACTATGATATAAACAATAAACGTTCATTCGTGAAGACACAATATGCTTCACGTTTACATTTTTATATTTTCTTTCATAAAAAAATCAAATAATGGGTGAATTGTCCCGAAGGACATTGCCCGCAAAAGGAATAGAAGAAAAATAAGAAGAAAAACTAATCAAATTATAGGTTAGGTATGTCAAATTATCCTAAAATTCAGTTATGTGATCCCCACCATAATTTGCCCAAATCGGCCAGCAGTGTTGCACTTCCGGTCTCCTTGGTGGAACGGATTTTTAGTATGTTAAATATAGCCTATATCCTATCCAGTAAAATAATACAGATCAGTGGTGTGAATAGATGGAAAACTCAATGGTAAAATTCCAAAGACATTACAACATACAGACAAACTGTTTCATTCATAAATCCCATACAATTGCGGGCTGTTATTGTTTTAAAATTGTTAGTGAGTGGAAGAGAGAAAGACAGATCTCGTATGACCGGCTGGCAACGTTGTAAACAGTGTCCATAATATGCTCGCCAGTGGCGTAGAGTTTTAAACTTATCAGTATTGTCAGAGTAGTATGTTAAAAAAATACGTAAATATGTAGGTATATTTTTTTAGTAATATAATTATGATGATTTTTTCATGTAGGTAGATTAGATTAGATTATGAGTTGGACGTTATTTGTCCCTGTCCACCGCGACCTTTTCAGATCTATTGTGGGACTCCTGTTTGTTTTAGAGTATGTCGTCTAGCCTGGTCTTTTTTATTAGTCTTAGCAGCTTTGACAGTGGCTCCCGCATGTAGTTGCATGAAATTGGCTTGTCTTCGCCCAATGTTAGGAACCTCGTTCCAGCCAGGCATTTACATTGGCACAGGATGTGGAATATTGTTTCCTCTTCTTCTTCACAGAACGTACACAAAGTTGCTTCTTCTGCTGGATTTATGACACTCATGTGCCTTTTGAGGCGACAGTGTCCAGTAAGAAGGCCTACTGTTATCCTAACGATTTGACGCTTTTGATCCAGTAGGTATTTCGTGAACTTGGCCGATGGTTCCTTGATGAACTGTTTGGCCTGTCTCAGTCTTGGATAGTTGTTCCACCATTCCTGAGACACTGTTTGCATCCATTGTTTAATGGATGCCTTGCACAATGCCTTAGCA